AGAACCAACGCAGCTGATGTTGCAGACACCATGGGTTAAGCAACAGAACAAACATCGCTTTCCTTTTTTAAAGCTGAACCACTCCAAACTCGATCAGTGTGGCAAGCAGCATGAGAGGACACTTCTTACAGGACACAATGCTTGAATTGTCAGAATGGGACAACCTCTCCGCAAGAATCCAAAACACAAGCTTTCCTTTGATTTCTGGCGGCCCGGCTTTCCTTTGTTGACATCTCCGCTCGTGTTGGTTTCACACGTTTTGGTCTTTTCCCATTGCTCCGGGATGGCGCCGCATCGCCAGCGCCAGGCCGCACAAGAGCAAGGAGGTCTTCGCAGCAGCTCCTTCACAGGAGACTGCCGAGGCGCCGACGTCGCGTGGGGAACTGCAGAGGCACAGAACGGTGTCGGACTCGATTTGTTGCGCCAAACTGTGCAAAGCGCTGGGGCGAAGCAAGGTGGTCATGAACAATGAACAACCACGGATGGTGATTTAGTTTTGAATCAGGAAACTGTTCCCGTGGGCCCGCATTCAGCATCATGTTTACATCTACGTCCCCCTAGCTAAAAATGAAACAACGAAATCCGTGGATCCGTGAGATGCGCAACCTCTCCCAGAGGTATTTGAAAAGCCGTTTCTTTTGTAAGAGCTTAATGGTGTTCGAGAGTGTTTGTTATTCTTTGGTCCCGAAGAAGTTGCTTATTTTTTCCAATGACCTCTTGTGAAGGTACTACGGCCGGTCAAAGGCAATGGAAACTCTTTTAGGAAGGACCGTAGATCGTGTCACAGGCCTCAGCCTATAATTGAGCGTTTCTTACAGTTTTCTCCTGCACTGTAGCCTCAGCATGAATTGTCAATGACTGCACTGTGTTGAGCATGTTCTGCACTGTGTTCTGCACTGTGCTGAGCATGTTTCCTCGGGACAAGTCTTCATACTGATAGCGTCATGCGTGGTTTTACCGCGTATGCATTTGCGCTCGTGATGGGCAACATGTCTTGGCCAAGGCCACTTTGTGAGGAACGAAGCTTGCTTACTGAAGTGCAGATTGGTCAGCAGAAGGAACGATCCTTAAGAAGATCGACGAGTTGCTTCTTTGCATCGCCGAATGAATACACCAATTTCCATGCTACAATGTGTTGACATCCAGCGCCAGGTCAATGTGACTGGTTGGGATATTTATGCCGCATGCTGAGAGGGACTGCCGCAGGCAGTTTGTGTTGGCTTTTCTCATGAACTGATCAGACTGAAACTGACTGGGTTTGGAAGTAATTGGCGTCCATGCAAGTGCCTATACTATACCGGTAGACCCTGCTCCTTAGAGATGCTTGAGCTGAGTTATGTTGTTTATGCATGCATAATGAACAACACTATGTGGAAACTGGAAACATATATATACTGTAAACTGGATATTCATTGCCTAATATATGTATATATATATATATATATTATTGTTACTATTACAATTATTACTACTATTATTGTTGTTATTTTTATATACCCTCCTCTGGAAATGTGCTTGAAGAGGGGGTCCAGTTGAGGGTGGGTGATTGGTTGGCATGATGAACCCCCAAAGCGACCGCGAGCATCCAATTCCTGAGGATGCCTTTGCGACAGCCCCTGTCCCAAAACACGAGCAGATTCAGCAGGCCAAGCGGGAATAATCCATGGTCAAGCAGGATCCTTTAGCGGCCATCATTTGTCTCATATGTATTGTCCAGACAGTACCAGATTGAGATCTTAGGTGGGCTCGGGCTGGGTGTTCATAGTCGATCGCTAACAGCTGTCGCCGAGAATTGAGCTTGATTTGAGGGGCTGATTTCCGGACCGATGTGCATTTTCTTCTCAATCGGAGCATCGAGCAGAGCCACATGCCCAGACCATGTGACTTCTGCGAGGCTTGCGAAAAGGAGTCACAAGCAGCTGTGAGTGTGGCGGTGGGGTGTCCAAGGGGGTCGCCAGACTGAGATCTGCCATTGACATGCCACATTGCCTTGGTCTGAGAATAGAACCCCCGCTGCTATCTCAACATGATCGATATTACGGCTGATGATGGACCAATCGCGCATAGAAGCTGGTGGGCAGTGAGGTCAAGAAGCCAGGATGCCTCTTCACCATGCAGGAGAGGCTCTTTACATTTTGGAGTTCTGTGTGTCTTGGTCCTCCCTGGGCATTAGTAAATATAGGACATATAGGGGAAGATGCCAGTAGCTGGGTGTTTGGAGAATGCTTCAGGGGCAGAGCAAGCGTGACTGAGGCAGACTCCTCAGCTCGGACAACTTGTTTGTAACAGAGTGTGCCTCCGCTTCTGAATGTTTCTAGGGAACGCTCTCTCTCTCTCTCTTTACATATATATACCATCCAGACTCAATGACTGAGTCCGATCAGTAAGCTATTTGACATCAGCAAAGTCTTGCCCCCATGAGAACAGCCGCAAGCTATGAAAACAGACGCAAGCTATGAAGGAACATTCAATCCGAAAACTCGCTGTGATGTGTTCTCATCAGTTGAGGTGTTCCCGCAGCCCGCTGCGAGCGACTAAGACTAAGAGTCTTGTTATTGGGCGGGGGGGGTAGCCGGCTCTCAACCTTCTGGATGCTGTCTTTCTGGGCACATCGCAACCAAGAAACATTTGTCCTCACGCTCTAGGAGCCGTATCCCGTTTATGAGCTGCCCAAGGAGGTTCGAAGAAGTTCGTGTTTTGCAGGGCACCTGCCTGTGCAGTTGACCAGACACTGAAGCTTTGGCATTGCAACAGCAAGAGCTTTTGTGTGCTTGGCATCGCCACAAGATTGAGCGGATTGAGGTGGCATCAAACTGGGGAATCGAAGAAAATAATATGCCGCACCATTTTTGCAACAACGATGGTCAAAGCTTCAAACATTTAAAAACACATAAAAGCCAAGATGATCAAGACATTATTCTGCTCCGTTATTGCTGCTTTGTCCATTGGAGATGCATGTGACTGCTCGGACAGCTTTTGCTGGAGGGGACCTATGACAATCAAACTAGAGTGTTTCCGGGAAGGTCAAGAAGAAGACTGTGAACGAGAACCGGCGAGGGATGCGCAGGCGCACCGGCTCGGAGTGGGGTGGTAGTCACGAACCTCGAATGCAATGCCAGGATAGATTATTACCAGATATTACTAGTAGCTTCTTGTTACTAGTAGCCATGGCCTCCAACCTAATAGCGATGGCCTCCACCTAGTAGCTTCCTGTTACTTCCCAGTGCTTCCCAAAGCAACAAGGATCCTTCCCGACTCTTTGCCAAGAATCGGTTGATCTCCTTGTGGTGCAGGCCATCACTGCCCGACCAGCATCATACACTGGAATCCTCTGGATCAAAAAAGCCCAACGTACCACAGGTGTACCGATTGACCCGCTGGGACATCGAATCCCCCAAATCCTGCACGGCGGAATAAGATTGAATAAGTTAAGCCCTGTATTGATCGTGGAGGATTGTTAAGCCATGTCAAGCCACACCGAATCGATGAAATCAGCCTTTTGACCTACCTAAGGTTTTGGGATACCCATTGTTCGAAAACATCTTGTCATATTTTGTTTATACTTCTCCTCCAGATTGATCCAACTATATATACATCCTCCGAAAGTGCTTTGACACACGCCAAACTGCACTAGACATCGTGGGTGACTTGATAAGCCCCCTCCTTTTGTCCTACATAGTCCTACCTATCTCAGTTTACGGATGTTTACTGTTGACTGCCTAAACGAGGGGCCACAACTGCGCTTTTTGGCCAACCGTCCTTCACGTCGGTTTCGCCAGTACTGGTGCCACTTCTGGGACCATCCGCGGTGGAGTGTGAGATGCCCTAGTGGACAGAGTGGAGAAGCTATATATTATAATATATATATATATATATGCACTGTATATAAGAGGAACTTTGTCTTCTTGGAGTTTTGGATGCTATTAGTTGCTCATCCTTTTGGTGAGGGAAGTCCAATCCCTTAAAGTCATTTTTGACCCTCGCGCTTGGATGTTGCTCCTGTTGGAAGTGGGTGGGGTCAGATTCAATGCGCGACATGCTAAAGGAAGCAAGGTGCTGCATTTGCTGTGGTTGAAGTTTTGTGCCGCTTATAGGTGCACCCCGCTGGCAAGGCCGGTGAACACTCCCCCAAATAAAGGAACCGACGCCCTGCTGTATTGCAAAAAGTGAATGGGTTGAACAATTGACCTCAGTGTTTCTCATTCTCCCAGGTCTGCCGGAGTCTCCGCAGGTGTTCTAGGCCAGCGGGGTTGGCAGATCTTTGCCCGCAGACGGTTGGACCGGAGCTCACTAGCTTAGTTTTCTTTCAAGATCTTCCGAGGTCCCCCCGTACAGTCCATTTTGGTGTGGTACTTCCAACATGATCTCTTGGGTCCAATGGCTGAAGTGTGGGATTCGGACCAGGCAGGACAAGCAGTTTACCAATCCACCAGCTTTCTTCCACCCAACACAGTTGCATCCACAGGAGGCCCAGACATTTCAAAGGTTTGACAGCGTGGGGGATTGAGGCTCGTGAACCAGGTTTGCGGAGTGAGGACCTTCATGACATTTCCCAACTTACATGAACCAGGTTTGGCGAGTCTTGACCTGCACCAAAGCAGACTGATACGACAACTGCAGACCGGGCTCAAAGAAGGCCCTGGCAATCCTAACATCACATCAATTTTGATGGTTGAATCGATACCCAAGCTAGACTCCCTTAGCTCGATAGCCAGCACATGTCCTGCAGCCCACACTTTGAATGAGTTGATGTAAACTGTCAATCTATCGTTGTCTTGTCAGATTGAGCCCGATTGACGGGCCCATGTCCATGTGCCGTTAGCCGCTAGCCGTGCAGGGTTGTGTCTCATCAGTTGTGTGTCAGACATGGCACATATTGAGTAAGAACAACTGCGCTCACTTATGGTCGGTCAAACTCTTTCTTCCTTCCTTTCTCGCCTCCGTTTGGGGCGCAAAGCCAGCCGCTGGGCCCAACTTCTGCAGATCGCAGATCAAGTGACATGGCAAAGTTGCTGGCTTCAGTTGCAGCGCTCGGCTGTGCGCTTTGTGCCTGCGAAGTCCTACGCACAACGTGCAATGGGCTGCACCTCAGCTGAAGGAAGGTTGATGGACGGATGAGGCTATCCCTCCATGCGCAAGGATGCGGAGGGATGACCAGTTTTGTGAAAACATGTGCTGTTTGGGGTTCCACTAGTTACTAGTTCCAGGGGATACTTCTCCTTGTTCTGTATTTGTGTAAGTGCATGAACGCCGCACTCTTCCGCCATCCATTAGTATCGGTGCTACACTTTCCAAAGGGCACAGGAGCACTTGTTTGAATAAAATTGCGTGTCACGGGCCCTTTTCACAGCAAACTGACAACGTAAACCCGTTGGAACATCAGCGCTGGAGCCAAGTGCCCAGGCGCTCTTGCGCCTTCTCTCTCCACCTGTTGCCACACTGGCGTTCACGGTCAGCGATGCGCGCGGAGAAGACCTCAAAGCAGAAGCTGCCGCCCGGCGAAGCAGGGTTTGACTTGGACATTGGCAGTAAAACCAAAGGCCCTCAAACATCCTGAACACATGGTCGATGAACACTGCCAGTCTGGAATGCTGTTCACTTTGGAGTGCTCGTGCGCATCTATGTTTCCATGCATGAGGCTTTGGGAGCCCCAACAAATTACTGTACTTGGCAGCTATTGGAGTGAGAGATCACGGGTGGACCTGTAGGCTGACATGTCAGGCAAGTCATGGGAAAGCCTTCGGTTGTGGAGCAGTGGGCCAGCATGGTATTCCAAGTGGTTGTTGAATTGCTTTGTTCCATCCAGCACGCTGCTGGCGATCAAACAGGGAGGCAGGGTGCCAGCAAACATCACTGAAGGTCGAGGCTTTGGGCTACCACGTGTTTGAGCCTAGCCATGGCTTTAGGTCTTAGAGTTGTCCAGCAACACTGGCAAGAAGAGGCATGCGCTCCTTTAAAACCGCCTGTTGGGTTTGAGTCTTGAGGCCTAGATGGCTCTCGGAGTTGCAAGATGAAGGATTGATGGAAGAGAAGCCAGATCCCAATATGTGCCGTGAATATCGATTTGTGAGAAGGGACAGGGCGGGCATGGGCATGGACAGAGTGTGCTGCCAGGTTTAAATCGCAGGGAGCATAAGCTGTTGGGGGGACTCGCTACACCTGTTCTGACTGGAATTCTTCAAGGATGGTGGGGGTGGCCAAAACGCACAACCTTTATTGCAAGTCTTCAGTCCACCTGCCAGATTGGTGTTCAGACCGATTCTTATACCAAGACAAGTGGGTGTCAGCGCGAGGGAGCTCTAAACAAACTTTGCCTTTGCTCATGATTTTCCTGGTGCTTGGCTGGTATTTTGAGGTCTGTTCCACAGCCTAAGGGTTTCTCAATGTGTCACTTGAACACTACCTCAAACCTGTACTAAGTGTGAAAGTAAGAGGACAGCATTTTCGGTTTGGGAATCCCAGACTTTACTTTGGTTGGGTGAGTTGATCGAACTCGCAGGTGCATCCTACTGGCCTGCGACGCCGCCAAGAGGAGTGATCTCCCCGCAGCGGAGCAGTGGCTACGCACCGCCGCCAGCTTCGCACCTGCAGCACCTGAGGCCGTGCCCTGACCATGGAGAACGAGGGGTCTATGATTCCAAAAGCCTTCCGGTGTGGTTGATGTTGTTGGATCTATTCCATGTTGGATCCTGGATTTGCTTTCATGCACAGCGCCGGAAATACTATAAACAGTATCGATTCCCAACCACCTTCTCACAGGGTATGTGGATCTGTGGGGAGGGGGTAGCTAGAGTGGTCGGGATGGTGCATGTGTCTTTGTGCCGTGCAGTGGAATTGCAAACCTACCCAACAGACATGCCGAGCAAAAACATGTGCGTTCATGTGCGGTCTTAAGGGAGCTAGACTATGCCCACTGACATGTGGCAACGACTGGTTTCCCCCTATATAAGCAGACCTAAAGCTTCAAGCCGCAATTGGTTTGTTGACGCATTGAGTAAAAGAGCTTGCCGCTATCGACCATCGATTTGATAGGGTCCACACAATTGAGGAAGAAAATCAATGAATTTGTGGTACGCTCAGATGATGAACAACATCGGATGGTCCTGGAACTGGGATTCTTGAGAGCGGGGTGATTTGAAGATCGTTTGAACATGTTTGAAATCCAAGTCATGACCCAAAGGATCAGGATCAGTGATCCTGGTCAATGTTTAGCACTTCTTTCGTCACCTTTTTTTGACTGGTTGCCACCTCGCCAAGGCAGCCAATCTTTGGCAGGTCATTGGGCAATGTCGCTTGGCGCCGGTCGTGAAACGCTTGAAAGCTGCAGTTCTCCCGACGGTCGAAGACTTGGACGCTGATTTAAAGTTCAAAGGCAGGACGACCAACAATTCATTCGCAGGTATGTGGTACATTTGGGACCCTGGACCCCAAGACATCCCAAGTCCATGATCTAGCACGATGGTGCCATCATCGGTTCCGGTAGCCTGCTGTTGTTTGAGGTGTTCCGTTGCCTGTAGCCGAGCGATGGCTGTCCATCCTCCACAACGCATCCTCGGGAGCATCACTTCCCCCGGGGGCCGCAGAAGCGCTGCTCAGAGCTGCCGCACGAGGGTGCAATCTGGAGGGAGCAGAGAGATGGTTTCAGGCATTCGATGCACAGCCTCAACCTGTGATGGGTTATCGGGCATATGATGAGTTTTGCCAAATTCGTTTGAAGGCCCCAAGGCTTTTGCTATTCGTCGTTTTGACATGAGATGAGTTCCGAGATTGACTTGACTTGGCAGACTTGGCATTTCGCATCTTTACCTCATCGCGCGCCCGATCCCCCAGCTGGTGCAATGTTAATTCTTCCGGCGCACGGTATGTTTTGCCACAATGCCTGTGCCCCTCCAACCAATGGTTTTGCTGCTGTAGTCTCTGGGGGGTGCTGTTAGGTCCAAGAAACCCCCAAAGCACGTCCGGTGATGCATCATCAACAGGTGGCAGTCCTGGTGTTTGTGGATCTTCCGCAAACCAGAGTGTGATGTTTTCGTGAAACAGCAGAATCTAACCTCGCCATTCATTGAATTCATTCAACACCGAAAAATCGACAACGAGAAGTGGGGCTGAGCCAAGCAAACTGTGGTGCCACCGTAGTGTTGATTCATCTTAGCAAGTCAAAAAGAAGTGTGGTTTGCGCATGATTTTGTCAAAGAAGGCTCTCTGGGTCAGGCATTCCAGCAGCAAGAAGACCAGAATGCTACGGTGGATCAGCCACTCAGCCTTTCAATGGAAAGTCCGCCAGTGACTTCTCTTATCGGTAGTAAGAGGTCCTTGCAAGTCTGTTTTTCCCCGGCGCATGTCCAGTGTTACTGTGCAGGCCGTTAGATTTGGCTGAAGACATAAAGATGACCTACCCTACCAGTAAGACTGGTTGCAAGTTAAGGTCCCTGTGCTTGCGGCTCCTCAGCTGCTCCTTGCAGAGTGGCAACACTTCAATGGCTGAACAGTGGATCAAGCGAGTAGTTCAGGCCTGGGAGATTTATACAAGAGACGTCAAGCTCATCAGGTTGAGAACCGGTGAGAGGCACGTTAGCATTGAGGTACTTTGCAGTGTCCCGGTAGATTAGATGGCCCCCACTAGGGTAACTAGGGCTCGAACAAGGCCATTCAGTTCACCCGAATGCGAACCTGCACTGATGAAGAAAAGTGACTAGTGACAATAGTATATATTATATATTGTATAGTTGTTTATACTTTATATAACTATAGTTACTGTGGGTTCTTTAGAGCATTGGCGTAAGATGTCCCCAGCATTCGTTCACATGACTTCCCCTCCTTTACACCGCAGTGTAGATGCGGACGGCCGACTGGCTCAGGCCGGTGCCAACGCCTCCGAAATCACCATGCGAATGATGAAGGCAGTGGATTGCGCCATCGCGATCTCTAAAATTGAACTGTGCAAGGTGGACAGCCTCGCAACCACCCGAACCACTCTCCACCAGCTGACAGTAGAAAGACATGGACAAAACTGCTTATTGTTGGAGGGCGGGAAAATGTTGTGTTGCGTTTAGGTGTTTGGGGATTTAGTTTTTCCCGCTTTTCATTGTTTATTGTTTCTCTATGATGTATCATGCTTTTCTTGCTTTTTTGTGCTTGTTTTGCTTATCCTTGCTTCTCCTTTGCTTTTCATTGCTTCCCGTGATTTCTTTTGCTTTTCTTGTTTGTCCTGCTTCTTTGCACTTGTCTCGCTCTTCCTGGCTTTTCTCCTGCTTTTCTTTACTTTCCTGCTTCGCGTCTTCTTGTGGCGTATTGTTTCCCTTTCTTAAATGCTTGTGCTTTCTATGGCCTTTGTTGCCGTTGCTTTGTACCAGTTGCTTTTTAAGCCTTGAGTTTGCGTGACTTTATTCTTGCTTTTCTGGCCTTCTATACTTTTGCTACTCTTGTTGTTTGTTTTGTGCCCAGCTCCACAGGTTGTTGAGTTTTGGTTCGCCTCAAGCAACCACCCAAGTGCATCATATGAACAAAACTCGCTCATTCTTTACTCCCTTCTCGATTATGACGCGCTTGTCTCATGCTTGTTCGCCCTGCGACTGACGTTTTTGTTTACTTATATATATATAGGCTTCTGGTAGACGTCCTGAAATAATAATGGACATGGAACAAGGCCTCCTGGATAGTTATTTGTTCTACCAACCGCTAGCTTTCCATTTACACTTGAGGAACAATAGAGAAACCACAGCCGCGAAAAAAGATCCCAAATACAACCGCACATAACCGCACTTATTGTTTTGGCATATGTTGTAATTGTCATTCTGAATAGAACCTCCCCACACCTTCGAGAAGAACTTGGTTGCTCGAGTCCAGCAGCTATGTCGCCCTTGAGAGTCCAAAGTTACTGCTGTAACGTTGGATTCACGGAGCAGAATCAAAGAAACCCTTTGTGAAAACCGGGGGGAATGTGAACCATCCGCAGATTGAACCCTCCAATAACAACTTATTGACCTGTAACGCTCAATGTTTCTTCCGTCTACTCTTTCATTGGCATGGACCTCATGGATCCACTATTCGGAGCCAACATTAGTAAGAGAACTTTCTCGGCAGTATGGACTAACATTCCCTCCTTCCCTCCTACTGCCGATGCTGGCGATGCTCGATTTGTCATGTTCTTGGCTTCTTCGAAGCATTGCTAGTGGGGTGTGGTAGTTCTATTCAGTTTTGCAACCTTCCATGGTGGAGTGCTGAAATTTCGCCACGCGCAGGACAGCGCTGCGCGCCGTGCCTATGAAGCGGTGATCCGGCAAAAGGCGGAGGCCAAGGATCTGGTCGCAGCACGGACGTGGTACGAGCCCTGGCAGGGATAGACGCAGCCGAGAACCTCAGACTGTGAGAAGGGATGTGGATGGAAGAAACGCACCACGAAGATTTGGGAAAAGCATTTGGATGCATATTTGGATGCATTTAGTGTTCCAAGCAGATGCCGTTTCAAGGGATTCCAGGATTCTTTTGAGATGGTTTTCTGGATGTCCTTCCAAGATAAAGAGCTGCTACTGGTGACAAGTGTATGGCTTAATGATACAGACTTGAAAAGTGTTTTGTGCCAGGTGCCCTGAACCAAACCCCGAAAAGATGGGGTAGGAGCGGCCTAGCGTGTTGGGCAAGTTAGGTATCTGAGTAAAACATGACCAAAGATAGAGGGAAAAAACCTGCGATCAAAGTTTGTAATTATAGAATCAACGTCAACCATCAGCATTTGGCAAATCGGGTGATCATGCACGTTGTCAACACTGTTCCCAACCTCGTTTCCCAACGAACAAAGCAGCGGGCCCTGTTTAAACTTGAAAGAGAACTAGCATAAGAAAAATTGTATAATCGGGGTGTGGCGTTTGCAATTGTGTCTAAGTTTGCGGTGTGTGTGTAGGTGTGCGGACGCATCGAGGCGTCCAAGACATGCGGTAGAGGTACGCTCAATATTTACGGAAGTATGCCCAAGCACAAAACCATAATACTACAGTATATACACTCAACCTGAACAATGATGTTTGATAATGCTCTCACCACATCTCGGATTTAGTTATAAATGTCAACCGTGGCTCACATCCACGAAGAAAGAATGAGAATGACTGCAGTAGTTTGAGCAAGTATGCTGGAAGGTGCTTGCGCCAAATCCATGATTAATTAGCACGCAAGATTTGATTCAATAATACTCTACTTTAAGAAACAAGATGGAACCCACGAACCCGAATGCAAACACGTTCGACAAACTAATATGTCCAAATGACACTTGTAGGACACTCTTGCGGGACACTCTGTAGGACACTCTTGTAGCACACTCTTGTGGGTCACTCTTGTAGGAAACTCTTGTAGGACACTCTTGTAGGACACTCTTGTGGGACACTCTTATAGGACACTCTTGTGGGACACTCTTGTGGGACACTCTTGTAGGACACTCTTGTGGGACACTCTTGTAGAGCACTTGTGTGGGTCACTTGCAGGACACTCTTGTGGGACACTCTTGTGGGTCACTTGCAGGACACTCTTGTGGGACAATCTTACGCGACACTCTTGTAGGACACTCTTGTAGGACACTCTTGTGGGTCACTCTTGTAGGAAACTCCTGTGGGACACTCTTATAGGACACTCTTGTGGGACACTCTTGTGGGACACTCTTATAGGACAC